CAACCTTCATGTGTTTCTATAAGTACAAGGATCTTTACAGACGAACCGACTGACGTACAACGAAGTAATCCTATAAGTGTTCCGTTTTTTTTCCTTTAAAAGTGCGGAACGGAAGGTAATTGTGACAAACTCGATCTGAAACCAACACAAAATTTATGCCTATCATTTTAAATAATAAAATATTAAAATCTGTTTTAAAATGGCAACGGTATCATGTAACATATCAACACACAAAAAAACAGACACACTAAAATAAACTCTTATATTAAAAAGTACCTACTGGTTGTTAGTCAGAAAAGGATAGACAGATATAACTGTACAAGTGATTTAGTGACATTAATAGAGAAAATAATATTTAATACATATAATTGTAGTAAAAGTGTTGAAATAATTATTAGAAAAAAAAGATTTATTCAGAGAGAATTGTGTATTTTATAATAGAATAACGAATGACAGAACAAAAAGTAATATAGAACAATAATTTTAAAAATTATGTCAAAGTCTATATATAAAATTATTTCCAGCCATTATTATTAACACACCCCCCTTAATCTACAATGTAACATAGCATGTGAACGATAAAAGTACATTGGAGATTAAAAAACTAAGAGTTATACAATACCTATGTTTGTTATACATCTTTTAAACTTTATATTACATAAAGGTTTAGTAAGCATATCTGCCCACATTTGTTCTGTTGGGATAAATTGTACATCTATCTTCTTTTCAACTATCTTTTCTCGAATAAAATGAAACCGTGTGTCAATATGCTTGGTTCGATTGTGATGGACTGGATTTTGAGCTAATTTTATAGCAGACTGACTGTCACTATATATAGTAACCCTATCAAGCCTGCCCGTTATTTCCGAAATAAACCTGTGAAGATAACAAGCCTCTTTAGCAGCTGCTGTTAGCGCCATATACTCTGCTTCAGCAGACGATAAAGCTACTGTGGGCTGCTTTCTACTTTCCCAAGCAATTGGTCCACCTGCCAACTTCATATAAAAGCCTGTATAGGAACGGCGTGTTTCAACGCAGTTCGCCCAATCCGCATCTGTAAAACCATACAGCGGTTTTCTAGTACGTCTATACGTGATTGAATAATCTATAGTACCTTTTAAATATTGAAGTACGCGTTTTGCGGCCAACCAATGATTTTTATTAAAATTCGAATTGAATTGACCCAGATAACTGGTTGCAAAAGCAATATCAGGACGTGTATGTGTGGCCAAAAAAAATAGAGATCCAATAAGCTCTTGATAAGGATAAGAACAACATTCATTCTGATCATTAGACTCTAGCTTTTTATTTATTGGCGTATTTACAGTTTTGCAATCCTGCATGCCAAATTTTATTAATAGCTTTTCTACAAAAGTCTTCTGATTTATCTTTAATGTTTCTACTTCGTTTGAAATATTTATGCCTAAATAATACTTTAGTATACCCAAATCCTTTAGGCTAAAATATTTTTCTAAATTATTTTTGACAGAATTAAACGTCATGTCATTCTTATAAAAAAGTATTATGTCATCAACGTAAACTGCAAGAATTACTAGTTCGTCATTGAAAAGCTTCGTATACACACATGGCTCAGAAGGAGTTCTTGAAAAATTCATTTTCGATAAGATATAGTTTAACTTTGTGTTCCACGCACGTGGTGCCTGTTTAAGGCCATATAGCGACTTATGTAGTTTACATACCATTACCTCGCTGTTTTCAGAAAAACCTTGTGGTTGTTCCATATATACTTCTTCCTCAAGGCCACCGTTTAGAAATGCTGTATCTACGTCTATATGGCGCATCTTTAGTCCTAGTTCGACAGATAACGCAAACAATGTTCTCAATGAAGACATTCTAACTACTGGTGAAAAAGTTTCATAGTAGTCTATTCCAGCAGTTTGGTTAAAGCCTTTTGCTACAAGACGTGCTTTATATTTTACAACATTTCCTTGTGCATCTCTCTTTCGTCTAAATACCCACTTACACGGTATCACCTTCTTCCCTGTTCTATCTACTAAACTCCATGTATTTAATTTATGAAGAGATTTGAACTCATCTGCCATTGCTTGTTGCCACTTAACAGCATCTACAGCATTTATTGCTTCCGTGTAAGTGCTAGGTTCATCCAACTCCATGACTGAACTGCATACCTGATAACTTAAAAATTCAGGACTTTTCCTGTTTCTTAAAGGATACCTGCGCTCTGTTGTTACTTTGTCCGTTACTTCTATGTGCTGATCAACTAAATTATTAACTGAAGTATTTTCTACTTCCTCATGCGATCGAGCAGCCTCAAACTTGTCTTCCTCCAGTGTATCTTCTACTAAGGGAACTTCTGTATTAGTAGAAAGAATACTCGGTTCAATATTTTTAAGATTATGAAAATTATTCTCAAAAAATGAAACGTCACGAGATTTTATTACTTTTCTCGGATATTGAGTGTTACGAAAATAATATGTATTAGAATCAGTAGCGTATCCGATGAAAATGTGCTCTTCAGCTTTAATATCTAATTTCTTTCTATTACAAGAAGGAATATGAACTAAGGCCCTACAACCAAATACTCGGAGATGGTTTAAGTCCGGTTTCTGACCATACCATTTTTCATATGGTGTATGACAGTTTAAGGCACGATGAGGGCATCTGTTCTTTAGATATACAGAAACTTCAAAAGCGTCTTGCCAATATGCTTTGGACAAAGAACTATCAGTCAATAACGAACGAGCTTTTTCTGTGATTGACCTATTTGTGCGTTCAGCCACACCATTTGACTGTGGGCTGTAAGGCGCCGTGGTTTGATTATGAATAACCTGAGAGTTAAGATACTGAATAAAATCATTGTTAATATACTCAGTTCCATTATCTGTTCTTAACTCTTTTATATGGCTACCTAATTGTTTCTCTACAAGAGCTTGAAAAATAATAAATTTGTTTTTCACGTCAGTTTTACTTGAAATAAAATATACGAAAGTCATTCGTGTGAAATCATCAATAAAGAAAAGAGCATACCTGTTACCCTGAAAAGACGCTTCAGACATTGGGCCACATAAATCAGAATGAATGAGTTGCAGTGGCTCAGTCGCCCTTTTAAACAAAACTCTTTTAAATGATTTTCTTGCCTGTTTCGCTTCAATGCATGTTACACAAGGCTCTTTATCTGCTATTCCAAAATTAATTATAGCTTGACCTTTTAATGACTGTAAGCCAAAACGACAAAGATGACCTAACCTTTTATGCCACAGTCGATATTGGGACAAATCTGCATTATCATGCGTCACATTAAGACTTAATTTTGTAGAATTGTTAATAGTACAGTCCAAAGTGTATAGTCCATTACAATTCGTACCATGCAATATTGATTTGCCTGTAATACAAAGATCATTAGAATTATAAAAATTACATCCATTTTTATCAAAAATTACAGTATAACCTTTATCAACTACACTTTGAACAGAAATTAAATTCGCCTTTAGTTCGGGAACATAAGCAACATTAGAGACTTTGTCAATTACCTTGCTTTCAGTACTAATTGAGACAGTACCAATTCCAGTACAGCTGATATCTGCACCGTTAGCAATTGTAACCTTACCATAACTTTGCTTAAAGGAGCACATCCAATCTAATCTTGAAGACATATGTTTGGTTGCACCAGAATCTATCACCCACTTGTTCATTTGTAAGCCGTCAGTTTCTCCAAGAGCTTGAGCATTCAATGCAGAGGAACCATGTGACGTCCTGCCTATATGATTCTTCTTAAGTGGACAATCTGGACGCTTATGCCCTGGTTCTTTGCAGTCATAACATATAATAGGTTTTTTCTTTTTATATTTTCTTGGACCTACATTCGTCTTTAAAGCTGATACAGGTTCCAGATGCCGAGATGACTCATTTAGAAGTTTAGTTTTGACTAAGTCTGAAGAAATATCGAAGTTGCTATTTTCTAGTCCCATAATAAGAGGTTCATACTTTGATGTAAGCCCGCCTAACAAAATCGCCGCAACGGAAGGATCTTCAATTATTTTTCCTATATCTGCGAGATCTTGTACGGTACTCATAATTGCATTTATATACTCTTCTATACTACTGAACTCTTCTAAACTAATTCTATATAATTTTCTTTCTAATGCTAATCTGCGACTCATACTACGGTTTTCATATGCCTTTTTCAACTCATCCCATGCATCTTTAGCAGTTTTGCAGTCACGTACGTGAGTTATAGCAGGGCCGTCTAAAGTCAAACATATTTTCGACAATGCTTTACGATCATTACGGATTTTTATAGCTGCGGGAGTAACATCACCTTCAGTATATCCAACAGTGGTTTCCCAAAGATCTTCATGCATTAAGTAATTACGCATTTTAAATTTCCACATTGAGTAGCCCTCTTTGTTACGTAGACATATTAAGTTACTTACGCTGGAGCTTGGACAATAAATACCTCGTGATATACTGTCGCCTGCACTCATAGTATTCGTTTTGAATATGCACTAAAATCCCATAAAATTAATGATTCGTAAGAAAATCTTCGTGCTGATAACGTGTTGAAATAATTATTAGAAAAAAAAGATTTATTCAGAGAGAATTATGTATTTTATAATAGAATAACGAATGACAGAACAAAAAGTAATATAGAACAATAATTTTAAAAATTATGTCAAAGTCTATATATAAAATTATTTCCAGCCATTATTATTAACAAAAAGAAACTGACTATACTATATAATAACAACCCATTTGAATGCATCAAAGTGAAATGATAACCACCTGCTTTATCGGTATGCGGTATCAATCATATGGTTGTACTAGTTAGGGTAAGGTAAGTATAAATACAGGTGAGCCCATCGTGAGGTGATTTACTTCTAATGTACAAAAGTTCTTCTCATGAGTACACTGATTATTCTATTTAAATGGTATAGTATATAATACGTATAATTTTATTATGAAAAAAAACATATTGAAAGATTCAAAAGAATCTATCGTACGAAATAAAACAAAACCAATATTTCAGATATAGAATTTATTCCAAGAAACAATCAATATGGTAAACATTTTTGGATACCTGGTTATAAGCATACATCATTTTTAATTTCACACAGTCATACTTTATTATGAAATAATGAACCCATTTATTGTAACTATTAATCTACACGGTGTACCCAAAAATATATAATAATTTAAGCATTATTGTAGACTCCATAGTCAGCTGCAGAAACTCTCATGTTCTCCATATGAACACCATATACAGCATCCGCTACCATACAAACGGCAAGTCTCTTAAGGTCCTTAAGTATTCCATCGTAATCCTCCAGTTTCGATGGGAGCTCTGTAATTCAGAAGAACAAGTAGTTAATAAATTTAAATGGTTGTAAAGATTAGTCATTTTTTGCTCAAAAAAAAAGTAAAAATATGCTACAAAATAAGACTAATTTTGATATTTAACGAAAAATTTCATAAGTATTCTTCATATTTAAATATATTTAGCATTAGAATTATAATACATAATTTAAATAAAAAATATTTTTTTTTAATAAAAGGTAGATATGAATTTTAGTTATTAATAGAAACTCATGTTATGTATGTGGTTACGTATTATACTATACGTTTTGGCGTAACTTTAAAATCGTAGGAAAACAAGTTAATGACCAATTCACATAAATAAAACTTCGTGTTTTTATAGTTCTTCTAGAAATGAATTTAACGTGTTCTCATTTATTGTAATTTAGCAACTTATTGCATTATACAAACATTGCGCTAGATTCGAATATATACCCAAAGGTACGTAAATATATGCATAATAACCAAAAATCGTTACTTTTATGTTTTCAATCGGCTAAAAAACAAGTTAAAATCTATTGTATTATTTGATATAATCAAAATTACCTTTGACTAAAGCATTTTTAAGCTCAGCGCTTGAAGTGAGCTTAGGTTCGCCGATAATGTTACATTGTTTTTGTTCTGCTCCAACTGTAAGTCCTTTAAATTTATTATCAGCAGTCGTAGTTGGGCTTAATACGTAATTCAGCTTTTCATTCAAACCTGTAAATTGTAAAATATGACATCTATAACATAATTGTAATGTACTCCTTACATTAATTAACATTAAGGTTATAAAAGATGTGGGTCTTCAAAGTTATAATCTTACATTCAATTAGTGCTTAGTCCTTATAATAAACTAAGTCCAAATTAATTGCAAGATTTCATCCTACTACTCTCTACTATAGAAACATTCGAAATTAAGTATTTTTTGTAACATATCAAATATTAAATTAATCATTTTTTTTTATAAGAGTATATTACTAAATATGACTATTAATTAAATTCAAAGTTTTATAACTTACTTGCTTCAATTGTAATAGGTCCAGACACTTGCTTCCCAGACTCTAATGATTTTAAAAGTACCTCGCCAGTTATAATTAGGTCTAATTTATGGTCTACCTCTCCATCAATTGCTCCATTCTTCTCTGTAAACCTATACAGAAATAAAATAAAATTTACAAACACTAAAACTAAAAGTTTTTGTAAACGTGTTGTACAAGTTGACAATTTAGACAAAGAAAAATTTTATCCAAAATCGTAATAAAAATAGTGAATATTACTTGTCGTGGCCTTTTCTTGTAATTTTTTGTTTTTTTTTTTGTATTTTTGTTAAATATACTACTGTAATCTTTTGAAGAGAACAATAAAGAGTGTCTAATATTATATATATTTATTAATTTTCTATAAAATCACTTACTTGCTATTGGTAACCTGCTGATTTCTGAATCCAGTGGCAACAACATTTTTAAACTCTACCTGTACTTTTTCTTTTTCAAACGTGTGTGCAAAGTGAGGAACAAGATAAGGATCTGTCGATTTTAATGTGAAATCGGGCGTTCCTCTGCTCGCTTCCTTTAAGAATTTGCTTTGGCTTGTTTTGATACATTCTGCGTCACTCAATTTACATTGTTCTATTTTAACGATTTCTGAAAAAAAAATTGTAAGAAATGAAATTATGAACGTGAATGGTTCCAAAAAGAAATAGATGGACTGTATGAAAGACGACATGGTCAGACAGAGAGTGAATGCTAAGACGAAGGCAAATAGAGATGAATCGAAAAGAAAAGCAAATTACACCGACCGCAAATTGATATGGGAAAAGGAGAGGAATATAAAAATAATATTACAAATATTGCATTACATCTGAAACAATATTGCCGTTGCAAGATCAATACAATATGATTTATTAGATATAACTTTTATATTATACACAATATTAAAACGATGTTATTTCTTTAAGTGAAATAATTAATTGTTATGCATTGTACATAAAGTACATATAAGGGCTAAAAAATATACAGTCAAATTGTGATTCTACTCCTTTTTGAAGTCGGTTGAAAATTATAGAGTATCCGTAACTACAAGCAAATTGAAAAATTTATTTTCATTTAGGAAATTGACACTTTAAAAAACGAACAATCTGGTTGAGATAAGTATTATATCAAACTCTCAAATAAAATATCTACATACACTAATATAATAAAAGAGGACCTCTTTCCTTTAATTATAATCTTAGATGAGAATTCTACCGATCTCGCAAGAGACTTAGCGTGAATAAAGTTAAATAGATACGTTTTTAGATCGACAGTACATTTTCTTTATGTTAAGTAACATTTATTTTTGCCGATTTGCATTATTCTTTTTTGCTAAAGTACTTTCTCCTCCGTAGATCCGTACTATATTAGTTAAGATAAAAATCTTATTGTGTGACTTCTTACTAATGTAATATTAGTGATGTAATGTGAAAATTAATTTAGTTAAATTTGTTATCTCTTATCACCTTAACGGCTGAACCAATCAATGTGGTATTTAGTATAAATACATACTATATAGGATGGAAAAGAATATAGACTACTTTTTAATTCGGTTAATAAACATATCCCGGTCACGCAAACGATGTTGCTGGGAACAGCTAGTATTAGTACACTATAAAAATAAAATGTAAAATAAAACAAAGGTCCTATCTAACCTATTTGTTTGCTTCTCCGCTGTCTCCTAAACCATAGGACGAATTTTGATACAAATTTACTGTCTATTTTAACATTTTTTATGGAAACTTTTTATTACTATATATTCTATTTGAAATTTTGTACTATATAAGTAAACAATTTCAAAACCAGGGCCAGTGAAAGATAATATATTATTAAGTATATATTTATAAAATAGTAAAAAATTATATTGGTGACTTTATATGGGCAAATAATAATATTTAAAAATATTACTTACGTGATAAAGCGTATTGGGAAAATACGAGAACCAGAACAATATTTAGTTTAAACATCTTGAACGTTTATTTAGTCTTGGTCTAAACCGCAAGTGACTATGATTTCATTCCCTAGTCGCACCTTTATATATATAAAACATGTTTGAATTAATTTGTTATCAATACTGATTATCATAATTAGCATGTAATTACTCTAATAAGATCAACTATCAGGGGCTAAGAGTTATCAGTTTCGATAAATAATGTTATTCCTTAATTATTGATGGGGAGAAGATCATAATCGTCATCATATTAGCCGTTTACTGTCCACTGCTAAATGTAGGTCTTCCCTATAAGGGAGATTTTGCCAGTCAGTCACAGTCTTTGATGGTGTTTTCAGAGGATAATCTTAATAGTTTATTATAATTAATCAATTACAATAACTAATATTTTTTATATCTTTATCAATATTTATATCTTTCTTATAATAGTTTTATAAACTCGTGCCTATATTACTAAGATATTGTCTTTTTGCATTACTGTGGCACAAATATTGAATTTTTATACAGGCTTTTAATCTGTCTGGCCACGAATCTATGGATTTACGCTCTGTTTCCAAGGGAAATTTCGCCACTGCATGCTCCAAAGATTTTTTAAGAGACTCAATAACACCTTGTTGTTTGGAGTAGGCTATGTTATGCTATGCTATGCTCTTAAAATTATCATAATTTGAGTCTATAGGATTGAGGTCTGGGCTAAATGAGGGCCAGTCTTCAGCTTTTATATAGTCCAGAACGTTGGTATCAAGCCAGGCTTGGGTAGTTCGTGCCTTGTGACCAGGTGCAGAGTCTTGCTGGAAAGTCCACGGTATATTTTTAAAAAGTGTACTGAGAGGTTTCACAGCACGATCCAAGACTATATCTTGATACACCTTGACTGAAGTTTTCACTCCTTTTTACAAAAATGTATGTTGTGACTCCTTAATAAGACACGCCCCACCAAACCATCACTGACGCAGGATGATGACCACGTTGTACCTATCCGACTACTTGAGTAGTTTCTATAGAACTGTGAGCGTACACTTTGTCATTTTGCTTATTGTAGTGTTCTTTAATAGTGACAATTTTTTTATCGGTAAAGAGGATATTTTTATGTTTTTCATCTGCATATCGCGACAGAGGGCGTTTTTATCGATCTTTACAATTAAACCTTTAAAATTATTTTACAATTAAAGAGTGTGGCTATTTAATTGTAAATATTAATTTAGGGCACGTCCTGTGCATCGACGATAAGCACCGTGCTTTAGGTTTTGTTTTATAATACGCAACAGAATCCTAGCGGGAATCTTCATTTCTCGCGATAAGATTTTTTGGCTCCTAATGGGGTTCGACGAATTCTGGCTTTAACAGCATTAACAGCCTTTGTAGATCTAACAGCCCGCGGCTGCCCCGATCTTTTCTGGTCTTCAACAGATGAAGTATTGTTGTATCTGTTGATAGTACGATATACAAACATACGGCTGATACCAATCTTTTGAAGTGTTTGAAATATGACCGACGGCTCCATACCCACTTTGTGCAAGGCGATCACTGCAATCCTTTTTTTTTAACACCTTATTCCATATTATAATTTGAAAATGAACACGAAAAATATGTTAAATGGCGCGAAATCTAGAGAAGTTTTTAAAATAATAAACTTGTTCCAAATTTAAAATAATAAAAAGTTTAAAAAAAGAAAAGTTTTTATGTAACAGTATTTATGGCCAGTTATATATATATATAGAAGCTAGTATTCAATAAACACCTTCATAAATGTACTTCATTTGAAATTTAGAAGGCTTACAGGAGTTTCAGTGCAATTTATACGGAGTGAACACCGGCTACATCTAACTTTCCAAAGTTGAATGTCCTTCTAATGCATCTAGCCGCACATAGTTTTGCGGTCACTGTGACTGCTTTCAAACTATACGGAAACTGGATACAAATTGCATTTAGCATCTAGTATACAATACAGTTGTAGTGGTTCAGTGTAGTTTGATTTATTTCATACTTTAATAATACAATTATTCAAGTACATACGATTTACGCTAAAGCTACGGCGCACAGTGTTCAATATTTCAAATAGAATTTTTAATCCATATTTAGATGTTTTAAATCATTTTGTAGTAAAACCTTAAATGTCAGTTTCATTAAATCACAAAAATGATTATTTAGTAGACAACAATTGGCTGAATACGAGTATTGTTAATATTTGTTTATTAATCAATATAACAATTATCGTCACACAAATGATAGTCAAACTATTATTTGGCTCATTTATTCTTTTCTGGGTATAGGAGAAACTTTCATACTTTTACTGGTTTATAACTAAAAAATACACTTTGAATAGTAAGTCAGAACATGAAATATAAAATTATCCCAGAAGGCAGATTGAAAAGGCGTAAACAAATCTGGCGATAAATCATGCGACTTCTAAATGGTGTACCGAGAATGTAAATAATTCTACCTATTGCTACAAAACTATCATTAAAAAAGTTATCAATAACTAATATTTAAAATTGTATATATGTAACATCTTTAAATTTTAAGGTTCCATAATCACACATGAAATTCTCATGGCATTCTTATGTCAATAGTGTAGTAGAATGTCTTGTATATAAGAAACTATTATGGTTTCATCTGTATAGTACTTTTACATACTTTATATAACTACGGAATTTTCATTCCAAAATATATACTTAATAGGTACTAACATATAAAACTAAATAAGATCCAAGCTTGCCATAGACTGTGAAGACGCCGAACCTCCAGGTTAAAAAATCTAAGGCAGTGGTTTGGAATGAGCGCCAACTCCCTTTTCAGAATAGCGATGAACAAAGTAAAGGTGGCCAATCTTCGGTAGGAGATGGCACCTTAAGAAGAAGATAATGAATTACAGTGTAAATAGATAAACAGTAAATACAATAATTTAAATGTGTTCAACGTGGAATCTGAGCGAAGTTACGGTTACATATCCACCCACCCCCGCATCTTCTTATCACCTTCAGTAATCCTAGATGGAGCTATATTATTTGTTTTAAACTTTAACAGGTATTTATGCGGAAACAACTTAAATTATCTCTCTAATTTTACACTCATTACCTTTCTGCACCATCGTAAGATATGATATTATATATTCTAATCACAGAATAATAATAGATAATTATTTATTAATTTAAACTTAAATCCACACTTAACACCAAACAGTATTTTCTACCAGTCTATTGGGCAAACCGAGAAATATGTAGGTGATGCATTATAATTAATCTATAATGCTTCTGTGTATATGGGAGATGCTTATCATATTCGGGAAATAATCTACCAGCCCATTCAAAATTCATAAAAAAAAATGTATTTAAAAATAAAATGTGTATATAACTTAATGGCTCAATTAAGTCATTATGTTAATTATGATTATTGATGCTACTATATGATTCATATTGTACCTAAACAATATGCAATAATTATATTATTATAGGTATATTTTGCATTTTAATGGCCTTATTTATCTAACTGAATGTAACTAATTGCCGATATTCTATCTCAAGTATAGAGATGGCCTTCCTTACTGTATCCAAGGAACGTAATCCCAATATTGTTGCTATGTACATTATTATAGTTGTAAATATTTATTTTAGTATAACTAATGAATAAAATATTATATACTTACAATAAGAAGAATAATGTACTTGTACTTACTTTTATGTAAATATTATTTATTAAATAAAATGCTAAATATTTAATAAATTTGTATATATATTTTGATTTTTTAAATACTTGATTTGGTTTATTTCTTGTACAGTAATGAATTTAAATAATTTAATTAAAAGTTTAATTAAGTTGTGTAAATAGATATTTTGGTGCATGTTTTAGATCATTTTTATAATAGTATGTATAATAAGAATTATATAATATAATAATATCGCTAATGGACAACCGATGTATTATTTAGCAAATGTTCGGAAAACGGAAGTTTTAACAAACTTCGAAACCAATTACGAAGATGTGAGAAATGTAAGTTTTTGCCCATGAACTGTCAAAAGAAGGCCTTTTAAGTTGATATATACATTCGATGGTCGACGAGGGGTCATAAAAAAACTCCATGGAACCAACTTAGCAAAGTCGAGATTTGATTAAAATTGAGTGGTAAAGACTGGTACCTACGTACTCGTATACGTAAACGTAATTGAATGAAGGCCTATACATTTTAGTTTATTTCATTACATTGTAAATAATAAAAAAAAATGACGTAGTACACATAATATTATATTAGGCTTCTTTTTATCCTGTTTATTCAATATTTCCCATTTAGATGAACGAAGTCGTAAATAAAAACTAATAAAACGAAAGTTTATATTCGTAGACATATTAGTTTTTTACACAGTTACACTTTTAGGATTTTAAAAACACCAAAAAATTTTTTTTATTATTTCAAACTGTTTTTACATATATAGAATATTAAAAATAGTGTCCTAGTAAAAACTTTCAATTAAAAAAGAATCATTAAAATCTGTTGAGTTTCCATACACAATTAATACTTCCCGTTACTATTCGAGCAGGACACTTATTGTAATACGTACTATACCCATCTGTGGTGGGTTATTGCATAACACATAACAATGAACTGACGTGTATTGTACACGGCCACCGAGTGTACCCCAGAAAATTGGATGTGTCGGAACGTACTGTTGCCATGTTGTAGACAAACTGTAACAGTTGGATCGTTACAAAGTTGCTACAATTATATATTGTCTTAGTAAACTAAGTGGTGATAAAAAACATTCAATTCAAATTTTGATTCACAAAAGCGCACACTCTTTGCCTTAATTTACTAAATAAAGTCAGGAAACAAACATCTTTAATTGGACGTTAATGGTTTGTTATCGTTTTTGTACAAGTTTTATGTACATACTTGTACATACTCCTTAGTTTGACCTGCTTTCAAATACTCGCAAGGTAACTGGACATTTCTGTTTGGGATACGACCACTATACACCTATTATGTACTTCCTTTGTGTATCAAAATCATCTCAATGTCATGTGTGTACAATAAATTTTGATATGTCTATAAATTTTCAACTGAATCTCTATTCTGAGAATACAGCGTTAATAAACCAATTAAGCCGAATG